TTGTGCTGTAAAACCAACACAGAGATTTACAATGGAATTCAATCCACAAACACTAACCACTTTAGTATACCAGTATATTAAAATGCTCCATGAGTTTCAAGACTCATCTTATGGACTAAATTATGGCTAATTGTACCAGAAAATTTGATTAGCAATGACAGTTTATACATTTCCTCCTTTCTGTCATGCTGGTTTAAATGATGAGTCCAGCAAAGGAAAACACAATGGGCTAAATTCATGCCTGGTGTAGCACCATTGAGGTCTACTTATATCAGGGATTAATACAGTTCAGTTTAATGAATCAAACTGACAAATGTAAAACAGGAGTTCAGTATTAGTAAAAGAATACCATTGTTCCAGTTAACAAAGAGTACATAGGCTGCATTTTGAAAGATATCAGTGAGAGTAAACAAGTACTAGTTTTAAGATTACTGGAGGAGAGAAAAAGGTAAAATGAAACAATGGAAAATTGTCTATTACCTCTGACTGTTTAAAATTTAGAAAATACCAAACTATCAATGTATTTATACATGCTGATGCAAATGAAGACACAGGAAAAAATGGGCGTTTTGCCAGTAAGGAAAATATCTACAGCTTTATTAAATTAAAAAAAAATCTAACATTAATCCCTTTAGGCAAATGATCTCCACAAGTCGGTGAGGAACACTGGCATCCTTTCGCCATAGCCAGAGGGGAAATATCAAGCAGGTCCATAACCCATTTTTGAGAGACCAACTCTCCCCTGATGGTGGGATAAAGAGTATAAGAACTGTGTACAGCTTTTAAGTAGGTGAGGTCAATTAAACCCATCTGGACTACTCAACTCCTTTGGCAGGCCTAAGGCTGAAAAGCTATCAAAAAAGGAAAGACATTTGTACTGTAACTTCAAGCAAAGAGAAATACATCATTAACCCTTTAGCCTTCACACATGGTATTTTCTACCTAAAATAGACGTAAGGCTTTGTCCAAAATTTGCCAAATGCAACATGTGCTATGACTAATTAATTAGTCTGTCCTTTGAAAATGGAAAAAAACACAAGTAAAACGCATGGAAATTAAAATGCATAAACCAGTTCATAGATCTCTTTGCTGCAACAAAGGCAAATCTTTCCTGCCAACTTAGGAACAATGGCAAAATCCCTACTTGGGAGCAGCATCTTGCAAGATGATCCAAATTCAGGTTTGAAAGCTATTGCCTAACTTAGTGAGGAGGGTTTTAAACAAGGCTCGCAGTGGGGTGAAGAACAAAGTCCTGAGATAAGTGAAGTGGGAGACCTGAAGGAAGCACAAAAACGAAGAAGCAACAGGGAAGGCCTCCTCATTCTTCCTAAGAAAGTAGGGCAATGAGCTAGTTACCTCAGGTGTCTGTACACGAACGCACTGAGGCTGGTAAAACGAGCAGGAAGAATTGGAAGTCCTCCCACAGTCAAGGAACTATGACATGACTGGAATAACAGAGACTTGGTGGGATCGCTCGCATAATTGGAGCACTGTCCAGGACAAACTGTCCAGGAAGGACAGGCAGGAGAGAAGAGGAGAAGCTATGCTGTATGTAAATGAGCTGTATGATTGTTCAGAGCTCCAGTATGAAATTGGATATAGGCCTTTTGAAAGTCTCTGGGTTAAGGTTAGAGGGGACAGCAACAAAGGGGATGTTGTGAACGGTGTCTGCTATAGACCACCAGACCAGGAGGATGAGATAAATGAGGTTTTTTTCAGACAACTAGCAGAAGTTTCCAGATGATAGGCCCTGGTTCTCATGGGGGACTTCATTCACCCTGACATCTGCTGGGAGGAAAATACACCAGTGCATATGCAATCCAGGAAGTGTTTGCAGAACACTGGAGACAACCTCTTGGTAGAAGTGTTGGAGAGACCAATCAGAGGCCAGGCTCTTCTTGACCTGCTGCTCACAAACAGGGAAGAATTGGTGGGGAGTGTAGACATGGATGGCAACTTGGGTAGCAGTGACCACGAGATGATCAAGTTCAGGATCCTGACAAAAGGAAGAAAGGAGAGCAACAGAGTATGGAACCTGGACTTTGTAAAACCAGACTCTGACTTCCTAAGGGAACTGATAAGCAGGATCCTCTGGGAAGCCAGTCTGAGGGGGAAAGGAATCCAGGAGACCTGGCTGTATTTTAAAGAAACCTTGATGAGGTTGCAGGAACAAACCATCCCAATGTGCACGAAGAATAGCAAGTACGACAGATGACCAGCTTGGCTTAGCACAGAACTCTTTGGTGATCTTAAACACAAAAAGGAAGCTTACAAAAAGTGAAAGCTTGGACAGATGACTAGGAACGAATGTAAGAATATTGCTTAGGCATGCAGGGATGAGGTCAGGAAGGCCACTCATGTGGGTGGGGCACATGAGTTAAGAGAAGAGGCTAAGGGAACTGGGCTTATTTAGTCTGAAGAAAAGAAGACTGACGGGGGAATTTAATAGCCTTCAACTACCTGAAGGGTGATTACAGAAAGGATGGGGCTAGACTGTTCTCAGTGGTGGCAGATGACAGAATAAGAAGCAATGGTCTCAAGTTGCAGCAAGAGAGGTTTTGGCAGGATATTAGGAAAAACTCTCACTAAGAGGGTGGTGAAGCACTGGAACAGGTTATCCAGAGAGGTTGTGGAATCTCTGCCCTTGGAGGTTTTTATGGCCTGGTTTGACAAAGCCTTGGCTGGGATGATCTAGCTGGCGATGGCCCCGCTTTGGGCAGGGGGTTGTACTAGATGACCTCCTGAGGTTCCTTCCAACCCTAATTTTCTATGATTCTGTGTCTGACAGTCTGGCAAAAGCTGAAAGCTGCTATGAAAGAACAATCTTGCTCTGTGGGGGAAAGCTGTCCTGGGAGACCTGCATAGCTAAGGTGAGCACAGCCCAGCTTCAGGACTGGAGTATAGTTTTCCCCCCATCAGACTTTGGTACTTTAAGATGTTTTTAATCTGTTGTTTAATACACAGAGAGCATTCAACACGTTTTATGAAAAGCCTATCTTGATTTCATCAGGCAGTCCAAGTACATATCTTGTGTTTGTGTAATCTCTCTTGGCCAAACAGCTAGGGCCAAATTGTGCCCTCAGTTACACCCATGTGATCCCACTGACATCATAGGGCAGGACTTGGCCCCTGACTTGCATTACATACTCTCTTTATGCTCCAGAAATTATGTAATTCTGTTTATTGCAAACATTACATTTTTTAAACTATTTGCTCATTTATATAACACTGTCCTCCTTTTTTATTTACTAAAGGTTTGAAAGATACAGAAAAGGCTGACTATTTTACAGCTATTACATTACACAGGTAATGAATGCTTGATACGTGCCTGGAGTAATACTAAACAGTTCTTAAAGAAAATCCTACTGACATAAACAAAAACAAATAATCCTACTTAAATAAAATAATACTGCCATTTAACATCTTGGCAATAGTAGTATCTGAGACTAACCATGTGATAAAAATACCTCAGGGATCAGGACCTAAATATGGAGCATTAAGAGACAATTAAAAGTTATTAGTATTGTGATGACTGGGGCACAGGAAAACTCTCACATTGAGAAATGAAAAAGGCAGGGACTGTTGACATTAGGTGATGAATACAAGGCATGTGAAAAATGTACACTTAAATGGTATACAGATAGTAGAACTGTTTCTATTCTGCTTGTCTCATAACAAAAGAACAAGATGGTATTGGATACAACTGAAAGTTAGTAAATTCAAAACTTGTAAAAGAAAACACTTTTTCCACTCACAGGTAATTAGATTTTGGCTTTGGTATCAACAATTTAACAAGATTCAAAAAAGAGATTGAGCACTTATATGGCTATATAAACATACACATGGGTATACAATATATACAATAATCATTAATGCCATTAATTATTTTAAATAACAAAGTTTAAATAATTTACCTTTATTAGAGCTAAGATTAAACCTTAATAAGGAGCAGATTACCCCCAAAAATACCTACTGTGGAGTTCCTTATACCTTCTGAAGCATCTGGAGGCACTCTGCTGAACTAACGGACCATGCTTGGACCCAGTAGGCAATCCTGTGATCCTACTATGTCCATGGAGGTTACCTGGCTCTAGTCAATGCCAGTGTTCTCCATATGTTATAAGAGGCATACACACAGGTTTTTTTCTTGAATGGACTGTATATCACTTCCAGAGGAAAGTGATGCAGCCATACCAAGCCTACACCGGTAAAATTTTATAATACATGACACCAAATCAAATACGACATTCTAATATTCAGGCATATTTTCAAAAGCACTAGAACAGAGAAAATTATTTAAAATATCTCTAGCCATACACAGAAGTTATTTGGTGCAAATATATGACACACAGTAATAAAAACAAGACAAGTTTTAAAGTTCAGTTTAGACTAGTATCCACTGCTATATAAACACACAAAATATAAGCATTTTTTTTTTTTTACTGAAGATTAGGCAAATCCTAATAGCCACATACAATCATTGTCAACTTGTATAAAAAATCCTTCTGCTGAAGTAGTTCCACAGAAGTCATTACCACCCCTCCCTGTATAGTTTATAGCATACTGATTTGTATGGAATTACTTTACTGCTACTTAAGGTAGATAAATATGTTAAAAGCAGATTCATAGATTTAACAATTTGGAGACGAGGAGAAATAGGAAAGCAGTAAAAAAAAGAAGGGGGAGAAGGAAGGAGATAACTCTTTGAAAATGGTGCATATAATACAAAATGTCTCTATGAGATCTTTCACAGTATCTGAATGTCTGGCAGAATCTCCCAGTAGAAGACATAATACCTGCCTCCATTTGAGAGAGAGATTTTTCCCCCTAATTGGTGGTAACCAATTGAAATTTCTACTCCAAGATGATGAAATATATCTGAGGAAATTTTCTATGCTATGGCGCAATAAATGCCTTCAGACATCTGGGTTTTAGTTGTTGCTTGTTATGCTTTTACAAATGCTCCAAAGATAACAAACAACTGAATATAGAATACTTACCTCAAAACTGACCGGTATGTTGCGCTTCAAAGCAATTTCAAACACTACACTGATCTCGGATTTGTTTGCGTCTTTATCTTCTTCTGTTTCTTTTCCTCCCTCTCCATTCTGGATCATGAAAAAAACATAAATTATGTTAAAATTCTTATCTTAAAGAAGTAAGATGAATATGATTTCTTTTAACGCCTCTTTAAGTCTACTGACTGTATTTTCCCTAAAATAATATTAGAAACAGCAAATTTCTTAGTTTGCTTAAAGTGATATAATATTTTTCTGTATTTCAAAAATTCTAGTTACAATTATTTAGTGATTTGAAAAAAAAGTTTCATGTTTGTGAAATGCCTTAGGCTTCCGTGAGGCTTCCACAGTGAAACTTGCTCTTATAACCACCTACTAACTGCTGTTGCCTATCTGAACAGGCGTTCAAGTTTTGGACCCTACAAGCATTCCTGTCTCTCTACAAATCAAGACATGTTATATCTCTACTTCAGCTTTTAACTACCAGTACTTTCAAGCTGTTTGTCTAAGAACTAAAAAGTCCTTAAAGTTTTCAACCTTGGATCTTCCCCTTACCTGCGAGTCCAAGCCAGACTTTCGACTGTAGATTGGAGGTCATAAATTTCAAGGAAATTACTACCTAATTTACCAGACTGCCAGCAACTGGGGCTCCTACCAAACAGATAACTAAGACTGATTTAACTCTTTAGCCAGAAGCACAACCATCAAAAGTCTAAAAGTATACTATAGTTGTAAAACTGATACAAAGAACTGTCAGGTTCTTCACAAGGACTATAAAATAGAGTAATAACTTATTAACCCTTTAAAAACAATTTATACTTTAAGTTTAATAAAAAGTGTGATCCAAATCTAATGGCAGCAAACACCTAAAATGGACAGGCATAGAAAGCTTTGATTTACCCTTCAAACAGCCAAAAGACAAATGCCTACAAAGAGTAAAAAACATTCATTTTATTTTCTGACACAGGCTTTGACTCTGTCAGTGCTATTCAATATATTTACAAATGAACTGAAAGAAAACACAAAATCACTGCTTGTAAAGTCTGCAGATGATACAAAAATTGCTGGAGTGGCAGACAACAAGGATTAATTTCTCATTAATCTACCAGAGAAAGGCTAGCAAGATCTAAGGGATGAAAACTGAAGGTAGACAAATTCAGACTGCAAACAAGATGCAATATATATATATGTTTTTTACAGTGACAATAGTAAAACACTGGTACAACTTACCTTTGGATGTGATGGACTCTATATCACTTGAAGCTTTTAAGCAGAGCCTTTCTAGTCTCTTTAGATATACTCTAGCTTAAGCCAAAGCTTTTCGCTTGATGTTAGAATTACTAGGTAAAATTCTATGGCTTGTGTTGGACTACATGCTCACAATGACTGCTTTAACATTTCTGAATCCAGAAATATTTTTTCATGCTACACAATACAAAGCACAGTTATGGATGCAGGTCAAGTAAAAGTATTAGGTATTGTCCTTTGTACTGAACAACAGTCAGTCCCAAGCCTCATTCATGAAACACCTTTTCTAAACTCATTAAAATAAAGTGATTGAATCGATGGTTATGGACAGATTATTGGAATGTCTAAAGAATCACTAGTTTAAATGTGACCATGTCACAGTACTGCACCTCTTTGCTCTCCATTCCTTTTTTAAGCATTTCTTCTGCTAGTTGGCACGGTATTTGGCAACTACACAGCAATTCTTTCATTAATGCAGGTTCAGATACCCCTACGTTCTCCAACTTCTTTCTGCTGATAACTTAGTGCTTTACCCACACTTACAAAATGTAATATCAAGCCCATAAAGTTTATCTTCAGTGCTTTAATATGTATAGAAGATTTTGTGCCTAGCATATTAAATAATACTATCATAAACTGAAAGTATATAGAGAAATCTTCATTAAACCATCACCAGCTTATGAAGACCAAAAAGTGACCCTATTTATTGTGCTCCATACAGAGAAATATTTGGTACCCATCTAAGAAAATCTATATTCTAGGCCAACATTACAATTCAGATGCTCAAATACCACAGGAATGTGTGTGTGTGTGTGTGTGTGGGGGGGGGGCGTCCCTGGCATTTAATTTATACGATCTGAAAGTATATCCTATTGTGAAGACGATGCAAGAAGTCTCTAAGACAGTAATTCTCAACAAAGATACCAAAAGACCCTTCAGTGTGGTGAGATCTTTGTAATGGTTTGTAATGCAAAGCAGTCATGGTGACACAGCTGGGCACCCAGGACAGCTGCCACACGTAGAGGCAGCAGTGACTTTCTGTTGCTACTATTGCCATGATCACACAACTGTGGTAGCACTCTTTTTTTTCCACTCTACCTACCCCAAGTAAGCACCCAGGGTGCCTGCGCCAGTCACCCTGCCTTAGTTACGCCACTGCCATAGAGTGCTGCACAATATTAGTGTGCCAACACCAACACATGGTTCACAAGATAAACCCACAGATTTCAAATAGGAATCCATAGTGTAAAAAACACTTGGACGCGCTGTAATCTTTCTGGGGTTGATTTTTTTTTGCAACAGAAGAATTGCTCTATTATTTCTCCGTAGTCAAAAATTGAGTAAAAGTAAAGATCTGGCATTTTCCTAGAGTCTAATAAGGTTGAGAAACACTGCTATAGGAGTATAGTATTCACCAAATTGCAAGTAGTATCAACGTTACTTCTAAAGTGAGAGTGGCCATTCACATGACCACAAAAACTTAGCTTTAAAATGGAGACAGTATGTAACTAGGGAGGGGAGGGGGGAGAATTTCCCATCTGAGCATGTTACAATTATGAATGTATAGCATGGACACACAAATACTTGGAACCTTTTCAAAAGGGGAAGTTTCAAGAGGGCAGCAGCTACTATGTTTTAACTGTTAGATATGAGCAAGCTGAGAATGACTGAAATGGAGCAAACCTTCTCCCACTGTAACCCTGGATGAAGGAGTGTTAAAGTTGGAGCAGGTTTCCTTCATTTGAATCATTTTCAGCTCATTCACATATTATAATGAAAATGTACCAGCTGCTGCCCTTTTGAAACATTCCCCTTCTAAAAGAACTCCAAGGCTGCTTACAGACATGGAAAAAAACCAAACAAAAAGCGCTTTACTTTCAGCTCACTGCGCCCCTGCACTGAGAGCAGGACATGCACAAAAGACGCACTGCATCAGTTTGACCCAGCTCGCCCAGCATCTGTATAGCTCACGCGCTTCAGCGGGGCTTTTTGGCACTTTTATTTAAAAGCTGAGATAAAAGCGCCAAAAAGTGCTGCTGAAGTGCGCAAGCTACACAGACACTGAGGACTCGGGTGAAACTGATGCGATGCCTCTTCCAGTAAAGTGCTGTGTTCCCCCCCACCCTCCCCCCAGCACACATCTGTCAGCACCCCAAGTGTTCATGTGTCCACACACTATGTGCCCGCGTTACACTCCAAGGAAAGAACTACTGATCATATTTTTCAAATGAGGAACAGAGAACATTGCTCAGGGTGAGACAGGAGGCTTGTAACAAAGCAGAATTGAACACAAACACATGCTAGACTCCTGACCGAGATCAGTCCAGCCGCGTTTTCCTTAAATCTCAATACCTCACTAAGGCATCACTCAGTTCTCATTTCACAATACTGTCCCCATAACTCATATTTGGGGGTAGGGGAGTAGTTTCCTTTATCTCTCTCAACTCATGTAGTCAGTTAGGTTAAGACAATTCTTTGGAATCATCCAGGCACAGGGCGGCACCAGCCTTTTTCCGGCGGCTGCGCTATACGTCTTCTGGCCAAACATACTTATTTGGCCAGACTGGGAGCACTGCGCCTCTGCAGGCGGGAGCAGGGCGGACTCAGCTGTGTGGGGTAGGAAGCAGCAGCCCAGGGAGGAAGCGGGGGGCTTGACAGGGGTGATGCTGGGAGGGGTGGCTACGGGGGGGGGCTAAGGTGAATTTTGGGCCCCCCTAAGCTCCCCCTTCTATCTAAGCAGCTGAAATTTTATTGCCTAAAAGTAAAAAGTCTGTGCAGCCACATCTCCAAGCACCTAATTTGTGCCCACAATCCTAATATGGCTCAATCTGGATCCCCAAAGAGGAACCCGTCTTTCTCAAAATGTGTCCCTTCCTGTTTATGTTTCTCCTGGCTAACTAGGGATTTCATAAGTTTAACTATCCAATTTGTGGAAGGTGGTGAAGAAAAGGATGAAGTTATTATAGTAAATCAGATCTGGACAGGAAACAAATGAGGAGAATTAGACCAAAATTAAAGATTTTTGGAGTTGTCACAGAATAGCTTTTCTCCTGCTTGAAGCCTGGACATCCTAAGGGACCTGTTCTAACCTCATATCAAGAGGCAGACAGATCAGGTTCTTCCTGCTGTTAGGTTAAACATTATTCTAAGATTTACACGAATAGACTATGAAGAAATTAACATCTAAACAGATCTACCCATATTATTTATGTAATTTATTTTCCATTACTACCTATTATTACTGGTATATAGACTTAGTTCTTAGCAGTTTACTGTGTGGGACTAAAAATGTCAGTAACTAAAATATGTTCACCACAAGTGAAACATAAGTGAAGTCTTCCTGTCCTTGACAACAGGCATCTGGAAGTTAAGGACCCCTCTTACAAATATATTAATATTAACAAAACCCCAAAATGCACTGAACTAAGAAATGTTGCTCACTAATTCAACTTTACAACCTAGGCTTCTGAAGGTAAGTCTTTGCACAACTATTTCTTTGGAAGAGATGAGAAAAGGAAGAAATAAACCTAACTCAAGATCTTCATTCTGTCGAGCACATTTTCCTTTTTTTTTTAAGATTTCTAACTATTCTTTTTAACTGGATTTGGAAAAGGAATGATGGCAGAATTAAAGGGGGGGTTTTCAAACTCTCCTTTGATCATAAGGAAGACTACTAAGGTATGGTACTGGAGTAGTAAAAGGAATATAAGCAGCACAATTGTCCTTTTTGATACAGAAAATTCTCTCTGGTCTTAAATGGCACCTCAAAAGAAATCAAACAATAAACTGTGGGTAAGCTTTTTAGATTATTGCTCTATACAGGCTCTTGATAGGATTGGGCAAAAAAAGAGTGCAAGGAGAGCTTCCTTTATCTTCTAAGGATACTTGTTTAATTCCTTAGCAATGTTGTTGCTATAGAGATTTTCATTTCCAAAGTTACTTGTGAGATGGGGGGGGGAGGGGTTGCTTAGATATTCTTTAAAATATGTAGGAATATTTTCATTTTTAAAGTTATGAAAGCTTTGACCATTACAACACTGAAGGAAACTAATGATCCACTGAGGGACCAACAGGCCAAAAAACCTAAACCCATCTGACAGCTGTTCAGTGGTCTGTACAAAGTAATTTAGTGAGCTCAGTCAGGTTCCTAAAGCACAAGCACAACAAAAATACAAGTCACTATTTGGCAACCTTGCTGGTACTCTGAAATGTATTAGAATAAGTAGTAACTTGTTAAGACAGAGACTGATTTAATCTGTAAAGCACATTCAATAATATTATTATTAATATTAGTATTATTAATAATTCAAGAATTAATTAAATATTTCAGTGAGGCCACAAATTAAATGGGCCTTTTCTGTACTTTCCAGAGGTGATCACATATCCTTTCTATGTAGCTGCTTTAGTTTCCAAATGAAATACTTGCTCTTGGCAATTAGAATTTTAGTCTGTTCGATTCCTTGCTTCATACCACTTCCTTCAGCATTGGGCTGTTGAAATAAATATATTCTTATATCTATATTTGGTTGCCTTCAGTATTGGTCTGCAGCTTAGTTATAATTACATCCAAGTGAATTCATCGCTATAAAAATTGAAAACTAAAAAATAAGCTGTAACTAGTTTTATAAAGAACCATGTTACCATACCCCTTGTGCTTATCCGTATTTTTAGAGTTGAGGTAATTTGGCCTTCAGTATTTCCACCCACAAGCTACACCTTTTCCTCCAATCACTATGATTCCACATATTTCCCTTCCCCTCTCAGCTTCCAGATAACTTTATTATTTTATTAATGTTTTGTAATATAAAAAGAACCTTGTTTTTTTCATCACTTGAATTTAAAATAGTTTTCATTTACAAATTGAAATTAGAGCCTGTTCTAGTTTCAAAAAAATGTTAAATATATATGTGCAAACAATGCAGAGAAACATGGATGTTTAAAAAAAAAACGATAACTGAAAATGCACTGAATTGTTATTTTTCTACAACCTTACTCTATGATGCAAGAATCCAAATGTGGGATTTGGTACCCATGTTTGAAAATTAGCCTCAGTACGTTTTTAACCACGAACCTGAGGTAATTTTTCTGGGATAGGTTCATTCTGGAGAGCTTGAAGGGCCTTCATTGCAGCATTGTGTCTAGCAGCTTGACGAGTCTTTCCTTCACCAAAAAACTCACTGTTGCCAACAGTCAACTGGACATAGAAAATTTTAGGCACTGGGCAGTGATACCTAGGAAGAAGTCATGAATAGGTTAATACATTGCTATGAGTAAAAAATGAACAATATAATTTATGAAAACTGAATGTGAATTTTATTTAAGATACAGTAGTAACTATGATAGACAATATGACTTTTGAGTCACAGCATAGGACAAAGATCCAAACATATGATGCCATCTTGTGAGCCTCTAACAATCCTGCCTGTAACTCAAACTTGTCATCTCGAGATCGCTAACATGGCCTTGTAACTCTCCTTTTAAGGCAAGTCAAGCATCCAGTGCTAACCTATTTCCAGCGTCATCCCAGAGGAATGCTGGGAATAGTAGTTGTTGAGGCTGGTAAGAGTTGGAGACTCCTGTGCAAATTATACTGGAAAAGTCCTGGGCTATCTAAAAGTGGCTCCTTTCCCTCACAAGAAAGAGATATGGAAGAAGAAGGAGGCCAAGTTCTCTCCAGTAAGGGCTCAGAAATGTTCCTGGGTAGCAGCAACTGCTGGAGAGGCTGCAAAGAGAACCAGAGACCCAGACAAAAGACTAAGAAGGGAGATTTGGTATTGAGCATATTTGTAACTGAAATTGCAGGGAGGGCAAAGAAACTAGTTATTGTAGGAAGAAGTTTGGAATTAGGATGCAGAGAAGTTTTTGGATAGAGTGCCTGCATCCTTTTTTTTGGAGCTCAAATCAGAGCTTCTAGCACACTATGGAAAAAAACCTCTCCTCCCTTATCATAATGCCTGAGTATTTCTAAAGTACTATAAATAGAAATAACAGCCACTACTGTAGGTAGATTACAGGGTTTGTCTGAATATGTCCGAGAAGACAGCAGGGGAAAACTAAGGTAAAGAAGTTAAATATTCTGACTCAAGTGACTATCATAACCCAAACTTTTCCACAGTGATATGTTTATTCATACCATTAAATCCCACACTTACGTGTTCTATAGTAAAGTAACTAAAACAACCCCCTTCCCTCCTTTAGCAAGAATGGAAAAAAGAGAGAGGATGTTGCTATTTTTGGCATTGAAAGGTGCCATATTGCGAAGAGTGCTAACACAAGAATCTAAGTAGCTAAATAAACGGATGGGTAGATCTTCAGTGTCTAGAGAGGGAGGCATTTTTTCCTTGAACTAGAAAACCTGATTCAGCTAATTAGATGAAGATAATTAACTCTTAGCCTTTAATGGAAAGCAAAAAATAGCTAGTAATATGGTTGTTTGCTTGTTGTTTTTTTTTTATAGACAATTGTGAATTGCCTCATGTTGAATGTTCCAGGGTTTTAATCCTCAGACAGTGGATCTTCTAACACTGCACATTCTTTCATGAAAAAAATGTATATATTAGAAGCGATATGTTTACCAAGTATATAAAATGTTTAAATAGTTGATGTAACGGTCAGTGTGAGAGACCCTGAAGGAGCAGCCTCAGCAGCAGGAGCTGCCCTTGCCCCCTAAGGTACAAACCAGGGGCTGGGAGGGGAGGAGACAGTGGAAAGAGCAGGGCACAGTATACTTAAGTTACTCTTAAGTGGCTCCAGCTAGATCAGCGATTCTCAACTTTTTTGGCCTCAAGGCCCACCCCCCTCTTCCATATTTTTTCCTGAATTTCAATCTCTCTCAGTTATTTTCAACTCGGGTGCCATGAAATTCAGAAAAAAACATGGAGTTATCTTTTTTAAACAGTATATCTCAGCATTGGTACAATTTCTTCTAGCAGGGAAATGGAATGTGTTTCATGTTTTGAAAATATATAAATGTATAGCTTTTCAGATGTAAGAGTAAGTTTGTGCTGCCATTTTTAATACAGAAAAAAGTATGCCCCAGGCATCAAAAGTTTAGGAAACACTGATCAATGGTTTATTTCATTGCTCCATAGATTATGACACATTTAATGTAGAATGGTTTTGTTTGTTAAGTGAAGCATTAACACACCTAGCTACCGAGGGCCAAGAGCTACAGTTATACCCATTAGCTTTTTCGTGAATTTTGCCTGAATAAGGATGGTACATGATAGCCTAATTACTGAAGTTTACGGTAGAATTTCACCATTTGAAGCTAACATTAATGTTAAACGTTACATGGAAACTTATTTTGGTTTAACTTCTTTTATTCAGCAGATACATCATTTGATCTGACATTGTTACGGCCTTAGAAACCATGAAGTGGATTTCTGATAAAAAAACATAGTGCATGTTATCTGTGCAAGGTGAGCAACTATTACAGTGGCTGAAGATCAGTGGAGAATATAAGACCGTATCCCACACATTCAGTCACCATCTACATGCTGCGTGCATGTCAATTAAAGCAGTGTTTTCTATCATTGGCTCTCCAATCTGGGCTCTGCCTATGGCCTTCTACAGACATTCAGTTTCTCCTGGAAGAGTCACTGCAGACCCAGGAGAAGCCACCAGTATATAGATGCTCAAACTTTTTCTCCCAGAATAAAAATGGTTGCTCCAGGAAAAAAATAACCTGGGAACAACCAGGGTTAAAACAGTCCCCAGCAGAGTCTGTCCTGGGAGACTGAACATCTGTACATGCTGTAAGTGATTAAATGGTGTCTGTATGAAGTGAGGACCAACATAACACTGATAAATTCTGCCATTTGTAGAAGGGAACCTGCCATACAGAGCAGCAATTTTTCTAAGTTTTCACACCAGCACCAGGCAATCCTCACTTCTTTGCACATTTCTTTTGAAACAAGAGTTACTGTGGCATAGCAGCTGGCAGCTATGCAGGGATGGTGACCCATTTTATATAAAATGAATAGGCTTTCATTTTCATACCATGCAACAGAGGAGCATATGAACCGTAATCCACTTTACAAACTTAGGTCCTACAAAACATCGTCTTTCAAAAAAAGGTGTACTTATGAAGTTATTTACAGTAAAAGCTGCCTTAACTGGCACCTTATAAGCCAGCATGCTCTATTAACCGGCATACTGGCTTGTAAGGTAAAAGCAAAACCTGACATGCTCACCGTGGCACTTCTGGGTTCGCCGAGCCCCCACGGCCCAGGGCATAGCAGGCTGCGCGGGGCCCGCCTTCCTGTTCCTTGGGGTCCACGGGAGGGGCGGTGATGCAGCGGGAGGGGCAGCGACAGGCGGCAAAGACACCTGTTTGGGCCTCTCAATTGACCAGCATATTTTGTTATCCGGCACCCCCCATCCCTCATGGGTGCGAGATAACAAAGCTTTTGCTGTATAAGGTAATAAGGAAAAGTGAAACTCACTTAGCCTGTGGCTCTACAGTCTCATGAAGCTCTCTGGCTTTGGCAGAGTAATTAGACTTTTGCATGATTTGGTTTCAACCCTTTTTGTCTGCCTGGTCTCAAGCAGAGGACAGATAGCATAAACACTGCCAGAAACATGTAAAGCAACACCTGAACTGCTCAGAGTGGAATACAACTGCTAGAATCCTGGCATCTGCATGGCATAGCAGAGTGTGGGAAGAGAGAGGAGAATGAGACTAGGGAGCAGGAAAAACTGGTTTAATCAGAGCCCCCAAGATAATAATGACGCTAACATCTGAAGACACAATGTAATGCTTGTTGTAAATCAAGGAGCATTATAAAATGAACAGTGCAACAAAAGATTAAGAGGCTGCCCTGAGAGAGGTTCTAGCTCTCCAACTCTATTTGTTGACCAGTAAGATTCTCCAGCACTTCAAGTTTGAGTAACTGTGCCAGAAAGGACTAAAAACAATAACTACAATTTGAGGGTGGGAGGGAAGTTGGATTACCACAATAAAGTAACAACATTTTCTATCACAAAGTGATAAAGTGCAAAAAAGTGCAATAAGGTGCAACATTTTCTATCACAAAAGTTTCCAAACTACAGTCCTACAAATATTTGCCAAGTCTTCATTGATCTGCTTCAGTCGCAAAGCAAAGCAGGCAGGCAGTCTTCAGAGAGTAACGATGCAAATCATCACACACAATCTGTGGATTTACGGAAACTTTCAACTAACTAAATGTAAAACAAACAAACAAACAAAAGTACTTAAGTACTTTTCTGCATCTCAGTCACAGTTTTCATTGTGTGTGAAATGAGCCATAATCAAACCCCCAGACAATACAAAGTAGGAGTATAGCAAACAGATAAACCCATGCAAACTACAAAATAACAAGTGAACAGAATATAAACAAGTGGGGGCTTCTAGTAACAAAGCAAGATTTAGTACTAAACATATGAAGTTCTATATTTAGAAATGAATTAGATGAATAGAGTGGAAGGTCTTTCTGAAGCAGACACACATACTATTATATAAAGACTCTTTTCCACCTTTGTCTCCTTGATGATGTCCTAATATTAAACTTTTTGTGTAATTAGGAACTGTACACATCAAGGGAAGACCTTGGCTTACAGCATAAGTAACTGGGAGGTTTGAGATCTGTAAGAAGATCTAGAGAGTTTAACTGGCCTGTAACCTGGCATCATTTTAAACCAAATGTTCTGCTACATATGGCAAGTTCTACCCCACAAGTTCTCTCGCTGTGTAGAAAGCACACCCACCAGCTGGAGAAATTCCATTACAGGCACCTTCTGCCTTAAAACTAGTCACATACTATTACAAAATGACCATTAACAAAGTCCAGCAGTATGCAAAAGTGTGGAAAACATAGATTTCTTCTTCAACAGCAGCAGAACGGCTCCTGCAATGAATGGTTCTGCACATTTAGTGACTATATAGACACAGCAACCTGAATAGTAATTTGCATGTTATCTATGTCTGACTCAACCATTCTTACAGTGACCACTGCCTGCTGGAATTCACCATTCAGCGCAAGGTGGCAAAGGCAAGCAGTCAGGCTGTGGCCCTAGATTTTAGGAGGGCGAACTTCAACGAGCTAAGGAGGATAGTTGGAGAAGCGCTGAAGTCTCAGCGGGGAGGAGAGCCGGGTGTTCAAGGGGAGTGGTCGCTCCTTAAGGAGACGATCCTCCAAGCCCAAAAGAAGGTAGTCCCGATGAGGATCAAAGGGGGCAGGAGAGCATACAAGCCTCCATGGCTCACCAA